TACACTGATTCCCCCCCTCCTCAGCAATACTATTAATAATATCTGTCAAGGTCTATTCTGTGGAATCTTTCGTATTTCACCTTTAGTATCCTGCGCCATCACTCATTTTTAGTTGCGCGCCTTCCTATATTGCTAATATTTCGTATTTCACCTTTAGTATTTCATATGTCCCTTCATACCATCACCCATTTTTTAAATTAACCATTACTGCTAGGCAATGTTTCATGCATAACCTTACAAAACTACATCTCTTCCAGCGATTTGGATTGTGTTTGACTCAGAGCGACCTAACTGCAATAATTCCTGACCTGAAATCTCATTTCCTTTGCCTAAAGTACCAAAGTCTTTCCATGATTTTCAATCTGAAAACGATCCTGAAGCTTCTGCAATATTTTGTGCTTATCACCTGGTATGGCAATGACCATTGGCATGCAGCTTTCAGTATATATATATCATGCTTAAATGATTCTGTTGATTGAAACAAAGCAACGGAGCTTGGTGTCACCAAGCTTCTGCTGCTGCTGATCTAAGGGTATAGCAACATGTTCTATTGATAACTATAGTGGTTACATCAAAACCTTCTTACAAACTTGAGGCTTGCCTCTATTTATAGGCTCATAAGCCTTACACAACTCACACGCAACTAATATGACAACTAGATATATAACATCTCACATATGACAACTACGTAATAACTCATGTATAGCTAATTGGCAACTAAACTTCAAGATACTTCTTGATCACATTAGTGTAGTAGTAGTAGTAAAAACCAAATTTGCAGCTACTTCTTTAAGTGTCTAGAGATGGGTGTATCTTTTCATAGTAGAAGAGTGGAACTTGTCTTCTAGCTCTTGATAGCAAAATTGAGTTTGGATTTAGACATACTCGAACATTCATGAACCATATGTTATATTTTGATGTCCATCGTCACCACCAGACCTCCGTGCCACTCTGCGGCTTTAAGCTCCATGCCGGCGTCGAACCCCACATCGACAAGCCTCCATTCGTGCAGCAAGCAGATGCTAGACTAAAAACGTATATTGCAATAGCATGTTTCAAGTGTTTCCGATGTTTCCCAGGTATGTTGTAAGTGTTGTATATCAATGTTGCAAAAGTAGACCGAAGCGTATATTATAATAGTATGTTTCAAGTGTTTTAGATGTTTTCAAAGTATGTTGCAAGTGTGTATAACGATGCTGCACATGTTGTAATGGCTATATATGTATGTTTCAAGTGTATGTTCTAAATGTTTTATCTGTTCCAAATGAATGTTGCAAGTGTTTTGTCTTGATGTTGCAAAGTAGATCTAGATGTTGCATATACATGCATGTTGCAAGTATATATTTCTAAAGTGTTTTAAGGTGTTTCATACATATATGTTTGTAAGTGTTTCATCTAGATGTTGCATATGTTTGCAATGGTTTTCAAATATTTTTTAAACTTTTTTGCAATTATTTCAGATGTTTAGTGTTTTATCTATCTTCTTTTGTATGTTGCAATGTTGCATCTGAATGTTTTAAAAATAAATCAGGTGTTACACAACAGATACGCGTGGAAAACGGTCAGCGGCGCGGCGCCCGGATCGAACCTCCGGGCACTAACAAGTCCATAGTGGATTTGTCTTGCGGTGTTAACTATGCCGGCAATTGTTCAGGCTGTAGGCATGTCCGCATGCGCCAACAGATTGGAGGAGCAGTGCCCTAGCGTGTATTCAATTTTCTGCTGTAACAAATACTGTGCGCCCAGAGTTTTGCATGATTGCAGTCTTGGCTTCGTTTGAAACTGTCTATTCGCTGGCTTTTTTTCTGAACTGCATTTTTTTTAAGGAATGTAAACTCGTTTGGAAGCTTTTCTCATTTGTTTCGAAATAAACTGGGATATCATTTGGTGATCGAAAAATAAATCCCGTCTTTCTGAAAAGTCGGCAGGCATATAAATAAAAACTCATTTTATTAAAGGTCTGTTTGGCAGAGCTAAGTCTGGTACTTTCGCCATTCTTCTCCACTCACATATACTGGCACCAGCTTCTTTTTAGGAGGTGTAGAAGTAAAACTTAAGAGCATCTCCAAGAGTTTCCAAGAATTTCTTCCAAAATTATTGAGTTTTTCAATTTGTCAAAAGGTATTGGAAGGAATAAATAAGAACATCTCCAACAGGTCCCAATAATTCACTCCTAAAATATAGAAGACAATTTTACATCTGAAATTCTATACTGTATCTAAATTATCCTAACCACTTTTATATATTCTTTCTCTCTTGTATATTTGCATCAAAAACCTTTTTTCTACTCTTTATTCTTTCTCCACTCTTTCACCTTTAGATTGGGCAAAGGATAAAATACACGCGATCTGGAGTCCGCACATCTTTACATAGAAGGGAGGTTTTTTCTAGTGCCAAAAGATTGGAGGTGAGTTGATTTTTTTTTCCCTATAAATCATGGATCAGAAAGGATTATTGATTACGCTTGGAGACGCCGTTGTGAGCCATTTGCAGTAACTTTGTCTTTGGTGCGGCAAAAGGAGGAACAATCGTAGAAACAGATAGATCCTATGAGAGTGTTACTTGTTTTTTGTCCGGTACAATACAGAGTAGTAGTAGTGTTAGGTAAAAGCAAATAGAATTCCAAATGGAAAATGAAGTTACCTCGAGAATCAAATTCTAATATTTTGTTTTCACGGCACATTACAAAACGCAAAGGAAACACTATATGCAACTTCATATATTGAGCCCATAAGCCCACGGCCCACAGCCCAACCTGCACGCCCGCACCCTCCCGCGCTCCCAAATCCTAGACGCCGCCGCCGCCCGCCTGCGGACCCCTGGTCTTCCTCCTCGAGTTCTTGTCCGTCCGCAGCCACCAGTCCTCGATTCGCCGCACCTCTGTACCCGATTCATCGCCAGCCCGCCACCTCCATCCCACTGCTCCCCGGCCACGAGCCTCCACTCGCGCTCCACCTCCCCCCACCGCCGCCACATCCCAACCGTCGCGACACCCTTCCCGTCTCCGCCACGCCCTTCCACCTCAACCTTCCAGTCTGCCCCTGCCTTGCCATCTCCCGGTGTGACGCCGCCACGCTCTTGCCTGAGCTGCTCGTCAAACCCTCTCCGTCTCCGCCGTGCGCCGCCGGCCCGGCCTCCCGTTCCTGCTCCTCCCTCAGGTCGGGCGTGCTCCACTGCCATCCCCAAGGGATATGGGGAAGCGCAAGCCCATGCCTTCCGCCGCCGCTCGAGGTACGAAGCCCTGCCCGAACCGATTCTGCGCCACCTCCTCCCCTCCGTTCGAGCTTTCCTAACGTGCCTTTTCCCTCCTCGTGTTGCTGTTGCTGTCGTCACAGGACCGAAGAACCGGCCAAAGAGGCCAAGGTCCGCGAAGCAGGGAGCTGAGTTACGGGAGGAGAATCCCCAACTGTCGGAGCACGATGGTCTGATCCTCTTCTTCTTGCGTTGGGTTCTTTAGGTCCAATGATGAATAGCGGAAAGTTCTTAATCGGCTATTGACTTCACGAGCAACTCCTCCGTGTGACCCTCATTGGATTATTTATGGGAACTGCTAGCGCCCGGACGTCCGATCCGGGCGCTAGCGTCGGACGCTCGCGCTGCTCCTACTGATGCCCCCCCCCACACACACACACACACACACCCAGCCACCTCGTCCCCATTGGCCGCAACCGAGCCCGCTTCCATCGGGATGCCCCCGCGCACGCCCGACACGTCCGCACCTCGTCCCCATCTCCATCGCCGTCCTCATCCTCATCCCCATCCCCGTCCGTTTGCCTCGCCCCCGCAGGAGCACCCCCCTCCACGTCGTGCCCCCTGACGACGGCTCCGCTCCCCAACGTGCTCCTGTCCCCCCTTCCCCAACTGTAACATTGAAAAAAATATGTAGTGCAACATTGATAAACATACACTGCAACATCGAAAAATATCTACTGCAAAAAACAAAAAATATCTATTGCAACAAATGAAAAATATCTACTGCAACATTGAAAAACATGCACTGCAATATCTAAAAAAATCTGATGCAACAATGAAAAATATCTACTGCAACAACGAAAAAATGTGTACTGCAACATTGAAAAACATGTATTGCAACATCGAAAAAACATATACTGCAACATAAAAAAAATGTGTTCTGCAACATCAAAAAATTATGCTGCCACATTCGAAAAAATGTACTGCAAGATCTCAAGCAGTAGTACTGCAACATCGCAAAAACATCTGTTGCAACAACCCAAAAATATCCCATTGCGACATTCGAAATCATCTGTTGCAACATCCAAAAAAAAACCAGTGTAACACGGCGAGATCTGACCCTGAGAGCTCGCCGGAACCCTAGCCACCGCCGCATCCCTTAGATCCAGATCCCTCCGCGAGCTACCTCGTCGGAGCCTCCGCTGTCGTCCTCGTCTCCGGTGGGGGTGCGCGAGCCGGGTCGTAGGGAGAGTGGGGGTGCATGGAGGTCGCGGAGGGCGAGGGACGGAGGGAGGAAGGGAGCACGGGCGGGCGGGCGCACAACGAGCTCGCGGTCTCCCCGTCCCGGGGACGGCCCGGAGAGCCGGCAGGAAAGCGGGCGGAGGAGCGGCGCAGGAGAGATCGAGTGTGGGGGAGTGGGCGGAGTGAGTGCGGGAGAGCGAGTGGAGGCAGCGGGCGGAGCGGGGGGAAGTGAAGTGCGAGTATAGAGCGGTCTGTGGAACGGTGCGTCCGGCTGTCCCGGACGCCCGGTCTATAGCATTACCGATTATTTATTTATGTATCTCCATTCTAATGGTCTGCATCTAGTAGTAAGAAGCTTAAGTTCCTAGTTTGTGCCACCACAGAGTTTTATTGTGGTGTTACTCAACTGACGATAGATTTGAACTCAAATTTCTTTGCATAGTAAGAAGCTTAAGTTGCTAGTTTGTGCTACCATCGGCCTTCGTCCACTTTCTCTCGTTTTTTCCCTTCCTGTGACAAAATAGTGCTCATGTTCGTTCTTACTGAACTTGCATCGTGTGCGGCAGAAATTGTAGATACTGAATCTGGAGCAGCAGGGACTGTTCAACGTGATAAAAAAGAGAATGGGAGCTTTCAAGGCACAGCGCAGAGTGATGAAGAGGACATAGAGGATGAGTATGACGCTCCTAGTGGTGATGCTCCAGGTGATACGATAAACAATGGAAATGATTGTTTTGATGAAACAGAGACTTCATGGTTAGTGCTGCATATATGATTTGTTCATTATCTGTCACCTTTGTGGAGTCTTATGGTTCCATGTTTGCATTTTCAGAATGTTAACTTGATCTTTTTGTAGTATATAATTTTGTATCACTAATTTGATTGCCTTTGATAAACAGATAACTCCTTTTTTTTTAAAAAAAAACTTCATCTACAGCCATTTTTGTGTTAGTAGTTATCTTTTTAGACCAATCTGAGGAGGTTAGCCCTCATGACTTTTATTGTTGGGATACAGTTGAACTGGCAATTTTTCTTTGCAATTCCATCCATGATTATCAGTAAGCAGAAGTGACAAAAGATGCTTATCCTTTCTGTATATTGGTCATTTCCTGTTGTTGTGTGCATTGTCGCTCCTTTTTCAACACCGTCTCATCTATCTGTTTTGCAGTTCATTTCATCGTCATGTAAGCCACATCATAACAAATGAAGAAGTCAAGGCGTTGATGAAGAACTATAAATTTAAATGGGAAATGCCTGCTGTGGACATTCCAAGGTCCAAATGGGTTGGAACAGGTGAAAAAGTGCAGGTATAGTTTTGGTTAGTCCTTATGTTTGTATTTTGAAATTTATATGCTTGTCATCTGAATATTGTTAGATGATAGGGTGTACTATCCAGTATTGAGATGTTCTATAATATGTTTCAAGTTGGGATGCTATATTACCCTGGAATAATAACTATGCCTAATGCTGCCGAGAAAAATAACTATGCATAATGGCAGTGCCCATTATAGTGGCAATCGGGTCACTGTCGAACTGTATACCTCTTTGATTGGGTTTCCATGTTTTAAGGCTAAATTGAATCACACACATCATATGAAGTTGCAGGTGAACTTGATCTTTTCAGCCCTGAAATCTGGTCACTGAATTTGTGTGAATTTGTAGCTGACCGTTCAAAAATTTACTACTAAATCAGTTATTACCTTAAGCTTGTTTTTGGTACCTAATATATATATATATATTTTATAAGCAAGTGAGTGAGTTAATCTGCACTGGGTACGCCCTTTTTTTAAGTGAGTGAGTTAATTAGAAAATAAATACATTTGTATTTTATGTACTTTATACACTTTCTCAACTGTGCATGACAGTTTGGGATGATTAATCTTAAGGAGAACCTTGATGCTTTGTTCTTTTAGGAAGCTTGTGATGATCATCTTCATGATGTCAAAGGAAAGTTGAGAGACCATTGGCAACATATGCTATCCGATCATTTAAATTCTCGAATGAGCTTCTTCTCTCTTTGTAAGTTCTCGTTATTGCAATAAACAGCATCTCTTCCTTGTCTGCCTTAATCACAGCTGTGAAGGTCATGGTTCTTTCTTGTTTTACACTTAGGGCCTGTTTGGGAGTGCTCCATTCCTATAGCTTCCCAAAATACAGAGTTGTAGGTTAAAAATGAAGTTTTAAGCTTCTGTTTCCAATCTTAAGTGAGAACCATTATAGCTTATTGAAACACCAACCCTCACTCTTCTTCCAGACTCCAGCTCCGCCTTCATGAATTTGTGAAATAGGTGTAGCTGGAGGTCTCCTGAACAGGCTTTATGGTTGCTGAGTTTTAGTGGCTCTAAACCTGTTTGCTTTAACTATTTCTGGATTATATGTTGCTCCCTCCCTTCCAAATTGTAAGTCGTTCTGGCTTTTCTAGACACATAACTTTTACTATGTATCTAGACATAATGTGTATCTAGGTGATAAGTTATCAGATTTTAAAAAACCAGGAAGGAACTACTTCTCAGCCCTTGCCTATCATGATTCTGACAATCAACCTAAGGCCAAATTTTACAATATCTTTCTTTTTCTTTAGTCCTCATCTCACAGCAATTTTTTTGCATGAAAATATTATGTTTGAGATAACAAGCATTATATGCTACTGTAATCACCCAACAAAAATACCAATGTGGAATAAACCACTGGTACTTGGGCCACATGGCAATTTTTTTCCCCAAACATGCATGAGAGCTGTGTATCATTATATTAAAGAAGAAGCGCATGGCGAATTTAAATCTGGTAATTTATTTTTTAGATGTAGAGTCCAGTGTGGTCATAAATCCACATCAAGCTTACTGATGATTCAACACAATTGTTAACCAATCCGAGGCAATGATCCAAATTATCTCTTTGATATAATGCCTCTGGCCGTTTTTTCTAGAATCTAGCATGAACCAGCTGTTGCCTGGTGACTTTTTTTACCACTGTTACTGAAGTGTTGATCTTACACTTGGCCATTTGTGTTACTTTTTGTATATGGAACAAGATAGCACTTTTAGTTGTTCTAAATCCCAAAGAGTGAAGTCTATTCATGGTGTATGCCTATTCGATCCTTGGTCTAATCATATTGCGGAAAAGAAGGGTTACTGATACAATTTTAGCTCCACCAGTCAATTCCCAACCCTACTTTCTGTGATATACAGTAACTAAGCAGCCAAATTAGGGCTGTATCTTTTTAAATTTGCTCACAGTACGATGTATGGTATGCTTTCTATTTTCCTTAATGCTAGATATAATTTTATTCTTAATGTATTACTGTAGGTAACAGTTATCGTGACATAATGCATTGCAATAAGAAGCCATTTTATCTGAAAAGTAATGGTCCTGATTCCAGTACCATGGACGCATATCTTATGCATGCTGTAAGCTTTACTATCTCTTTGTGGTCATGATATTATTCTTGAACCTTTTAATGGTTCTGGCTAATCTGCAGAGTGTACTACTTGTGCAGTTGAATCATGTTCATAGGACGCGAAATGTTGTAATTAGAAATGACGCGAAGCTTAGGAATGATGCTGACAGAGATATTTCGGATGATAAGACATACCTTGATCAGGGTTTTACGCGCCCGAAGGTATATCGCATCAAAAATATTGAAATGTTGAGCACCTGTTCTGTTGCCATGGATACATTAACTGAGATTGCACTACCAGATATTTTTAGTTGTACTTTAGTGTGTTATCCTGCATTTGTTTTGCAATATTTTCTTTGTGATGTGTGTTGTCAAGAAGAAAAAGACATAATTATGTGAGGTGGATAGGGTTATAAGAACAAATTAAGCTGTCTCGACAGTTAGACTCCTCACGTTTACTCAAAATTTATGAGGAATTATGTTTTATATGTGATCTGTAGAGCTCGGCTACATTATCCTTTTGTGTAATTATAAACCATGGCATGCCATGCTTCTTAAGATGCATGTGACCTTTATGTTGATTCCCTGATTTCTCAAATATGTAGGAAGATAGGAGAACACCTCACACCCATTAGGGAGGGGTGACTTTCATATGTATAGCCACAAGTTTAATCTTGTCCTAGCCCCTCTCTTTAAGATACATCATATTAATCCTGTTTTCTTTTGTCTAAATATATTTTTAGGTTCTTTTCTTGTTACCTCTCAAAAGTTTTGCGCGACGCATTGTGAAGAGATTGATCCAGCTTTCCCCATTGCCACAAAAGGTAAAATTTTCATTTTCTTATATTTATATGCAATGATTTGGGTTCTGATTTCTTCAAGATGCGAAGCAAATTTATAAAAAAAAATCCAATTATCCCTATACATACATTTCATCCTGTTTTCTGCTGATACAATAGCTGATAGGGTTATGTAACCATATCAATAATAATGCTTTTATTTCTGGTGCTAAGTGATATCTTTCTCTTTTCTCTAGGATAGTGCCATGGGACAATTTAAAAAGGAGTTTGGTGAATCAGATGACGAGGGGATACCTGAACATAGCACAAAACCTGCAGACTTTGATCTTCTTTTTGCTGGAGACATTGATGATCACTTTCTTTTTGGTGTAAAATTAACGAAGTGAGTATTCTATATGATTACTTAATATTTACTCCCTCCATTCCTTAATAGAAGGCGCAACTACCTTTTCTCGTAGTCCCAGAATACAGGGTGGCAGCTTCTGGGCTCCTGTTTCGTGCATGCAACATTTAGTGTGGTGTTGGATGGACACTCCTTGGCTCCCACACGCATGCAGCTAGACACTGGCACAAGATCTTCTCTCTCTGTCTCTCCCTCGTACAGCATCTTGCATGAGGCAGAAGAAGTGAAGCGTTTTCCTTGGAGCTGGGCAGGAGTAAATGCATTTCTTGGTTTGTGCGGACAAGGGAGTTGCGCCTAATATACTGGGACGGAAGGAGTATTAAGTATTTAAGTTGCTTATAATAATTTTCAGTTTCAGACCGCAGCTTGTTTCTCTACACTTCCCACAGATTATTATTCTTTAAAATGGTCTTTCCTCCTTTTACTATCACATGACTAATTGAAAGTTTGGATTTCAATATATATTGAGTCGTGGATCTATAACTCTATATTTCACTATGTTCCCATTTCGAGATTCAATCAGCAGCTTTTATTTTAGTCCTTTGTTGGAAATCCCCTCATGTCATAATCTTATTTCCATCGTTACAATGTTCAGTAGTCATCCATTTGCCTGGACTTCACTGAATCTTTACCTTCTACAAAACAAGCATAGTCACGTGCTTGTCTTTGTCTTTTGCAACGGTTCGATAATTTGATCTTCTATTTTCAGACTGTCATTTAAATTCAGTTGTCCTCATTCGTGAAACTCACTTTGCAAAAAAAAATTTGATTCAAAAAAATCTTTGCTGGTAATGCATCAGGTGTTATGGTGTTTTTAAATAGATATTGGTTATGGAATAGAAGTTGTTTCACATTCTTTGTAATTTAATGATGCTGTTTGTTCTAGTCTATAATAGTTGTGGCGCCTTAAATTAAAAAAATTTAGTCTATGATACTCATTTGAGTGGCAGGGGGCATACTCTGTTTCTTTGTACACAGCTACACGCAGTCTAAGATCAAACTTCATGAACTTTGATCAACAATTAATCTAACAATATGTAGATAGTATTTATTAAAAAAACCATTGGGTTCATATTTAATTTTTTTTTCTTATGAACGTGATATTGCCATTATCAATAATATATTATGAGAAATTAATGCTCAAAGTTTAGTTTGGAGACTGCCATGAGTCATACCGTGCCTTATTTTTTTGAAAGCGAAGGGAATACAATGTTATGTACTTTTTAAAACCAAAAAAATAACTTTCAGAAACAGATAAGCTAGTCTTCCAGAGAATATATGCTCTAATTAATTTTTTCTAGCACATCGACTGAGAACATCTAAATAATTAACGTTTGCACTAATGTTTCTGCAGGAAATCTATTAAGCTGTACAGTAACTTCTATTCTTCTGATATAATAGTTGCATCTCCTTTAGCGCTGAAACGTGTAAGTATTTTTTTTTCAAAAAACAAGATTTCTTCATAGACTTGATAACCTGTACTTACTCATGTTCTGCAGTTGTACATTACTCTTTTTCTGGGCAGACCTTGTATGCTGTTGTCCCATTGATCTAGAATTTGATGTACTCCTGAAAAGTATATGGAAATTGCTAGAATACTTAGGATATGACACTGGTGAAATATTATCAAATCGTCTAATCAATCCTAGTTGCCATGGCACCGATCATCCCGACTAGTCATGACTAATCGCGACTAATCATAGTGCATAGCTGATTGCCAAGGCACCGATCAGGCTGACTAATTGCGATTAGTCAGACGACTTGATCACATTGACTGGTGGTGGTTTGCCAGTAGTATTGTGGGGAGATCCAGGTGGGAACAGCTGTATGCCAGCAAGAAGCTGTTTTTTTTTGGTGGTTTTGCAATCTTGCTTCGTAGAATGGGAGGACTATGCAGAATGTATCATAGTGCTGATGGCAGAACTTGTTAGGCCATGTAATTTATTTGGATATGGGTACAGGTAAATGTAAATGGCACTACACTTCTAGTGTGATGGATTTGAGAAGTAGCAACTGCTGCAGGACAGGATCCTCGGGAAAATGCTGGTTGAGGAAAATGCATTAAGAAAGCCTTCATAGAGATTAGCTGCATCTAAATGATGGCACCTGTCTGATTGGATGGACGAAACAGTATTATTGAAAGCAATAAATAGCGTCATCAAGTTTAGGCATTTCAAGCATGATTGGAGATTTGTCTGATATACTGAACTTTGATGGGGGTATAAAACACTGAAACCAAGCCATTTCAGCATCCCTGCTATGATCTTGTCAATCTTCATCTTGTTCCCCTCCTTTTGTAGCAAACTCCATCCCTGCAAACAAGACAATCCAGCAGAAAATACTCTGTTGTCTTAATAGAAAACTTCTTCTCAATGGCCCATCTTGTTCCTTGTTTGCCAAATTGCTCACACGCTAGTCCTAGAAAGGGGAAAAAATCAAAAGGCCTGACTGGATGCATACACAAAATTCTTTGTGATCCAAATAAACAAAAAAGTCTACCAGCGATTAAGGCGGTTATCCCATCTAAAAGTCTTCTGTATGCCACACCATTAGAACTTAGCTATATAGCAGCCATAAACTTTTTATCTTTATTTTGTTTTTTATTGTTAAACGCCAATTTCTTTCATCTCAGCACATAACTTTGCTTTCTAATCAATTACTTTCTAATCAATTACATTAAATTGAACTTCTAGAACATGTTTATTGTTATGGAGTTCTATTGTTTATGCTTTATGCTTTTATGTTATCAGAAAATTGATGGAGGAGAACATGGCAAGGAGAAGGATTTTGATTTCCTATCTTCAATTGAAGTTAGTTCCTTTGATCCTATGATGTATTCGCCACCTCATTACTAGATACAAGTCTTTTTGTTAAACCATAAATAATATGTCGACAATCCAGATTCACATGAAAAAAACGTATAAATTGTATCTTTCACCCAAAGTACTTGAGAATATTTTATGTTGCAGATTGATAATGTATTAGTCTATTTGAACAAGAACTAATTCAAAAATTTGTATCTCAACATAGACTTGTACTTAGTAATGGAACAGAGTGCATTTTTTCCTTCTGTTTCTCCTTTCTCCTTGTTTACTTATTTCTAAAATGGTTTGTATGCAGATAGTGGTTGTTGATCATGCGGATGTGATATCTATGCAGGTAAACTTCAAGGCTTAAATGTTTTTCAACTTATATTTGGTTTTATACCTTTTGGTACAAATGAGAGTTTATGCATGGATGTAGAACTGGGAGCATCTGGAGGCTGTGTTTGAACAACTTAATCAGTTGCCATCAAAAGAACATGGAACCAATGTGATGCGAATTAGGCCATGGTAATTCTGTTTCCTTGAATATTTTTAGGTTCATGCTCTGATAACATCGACTCTCTGTATATTGGACTGTCAATTTTCATGGCGATTTATTATTAGTTATTTATGTGTATTCTCAAACTATATTCATATTAACTAAGATTGTACATTGATGTCCAAGGTACTTGGATCGGCATGCACAGTACTATCGGCAGACTATACTGTTAAGCTCATACCTTACACCAGGTATGGATTCAGCTGGAATGTGGTTTTAACCTGCCCCCTTCCCTCTTCTCCTCGTGTTTTCAGTAACGTAGAACCTGGTGCTCAAGGTGACTAGTTGTTATGCACAGGAACCGTGAGACCTTGATTAGTTATGAGGTTGATAAATGATAATTTAATGGTCCTATGCAAGCTTCTTTTGCATCTATTACATAGTTGTCCATTTGTTTGTTCATATACCTTTGTGCATTTCAAATTTCAATTGTTTTCCATGTTATGCAGAGATTAATGCTTTATTTAACGGATTATGCTTAAATTATGAAGGAAAGGTATGCTGTGATTGAAATCACTGACTTAGCTGTTTGTTTCCGCCCTTTAAGGGAGTACATGTATTGATGAACTAATAGTTTTACAACTTCTACTAGATTAAAATGGTGACCGAGTATGCAGGTGTTCTTCCCAAAATAGAACTTGACTTGCGGCAGGTGAATGCTCTTATCCATCCTGATTCTGCCACGTTGTTGCATATATAGTGAATAAAACTTAAATATTACTCATAGATATATTTGTGTAAACAAAGTCTTAATGCCATGGATACAGAATCCTCCTCAGTACTAAAGTTCATGCATCTTATTTACCAAAACAGTTATTAACTATTCTAATCCTTTTCAATGTGCAATTACTAAACAGGTGTATGAGCGATTTGATGCATCTTCTATTTCTGAAGCTGACGATGCGCGCTTTGATTATTTCTGCAACAAGGTCTGTTCTTTTATGCTTGTATAAGATATATATCTGCCAATGTACTGGAGTTAGCTCAAATAGTATATTTCTTATAATGAAGGATTCACTAGTTACAAAATAATCTGAGCAACTTTGTACAATCCTTCAAAGTGTACTTAGGCTAGTTCAAATTCTACAAACATCCTAGCAAATCGATCTATCTTGACAGTCTAGTCAGTAAACTTATCTGATAACCAGCTAACTGGTCTTATCAACTTGACAAAATCTCTAAGCAAATATCTAGCTTACTCGGCTGGGCTAGCTCAAGCTGAGGGAGGCTTATTGGCATGTGGCCTTTAGGTGTGCCTCACCATGACAGTGTCTTGGCTGCTGCAGAAAATTCTGGAGTTTTTTATTTCACCACATTTTGTGATCTATTCCAGATATAAATGTGTATCAATATATTATTTAATACATGTGTCCTTTTTATTATTTATGATGTGTTACAGGTATATCCAAAGATTCAAGACTTGGATGAGGTATGCTCTATATCTGTTGTGTACGAATGTTCAGTTGTGTTTGATACTTCTGAAATTTTGTAGGAACTTAGGCCTTGTTTAGTTCCTCCCCCTAAAGTTTACTCCCTATCCCATCGAATGTTTGGACACATGTACGGAGTATTAAATATAGACTAAAAAAATAACTAATTGCACAGTTTGCGACTAATTTGCGAGATGAATCTTTTAAGCCTAATTAGTCCATGATTTGACAATGCGGTGCTACAGTAACACATGCGCTAATGACGGATTAATTAGGCTTAATAAAATCATCTCGCGGATTACTGACCGATTCTGTAATTTGTTTTTTTATTAGCATTCGAACACCCCATGTGACACCCGATTTGACTCCCTAAAACTTTACACCCTGGATTTGAACAAGGCCTTAGTTCTTAATGCTTGGCATCTCCTGTAAATATTCATAATGTTAAGGGGTGTGTGTGTGCTGTGGGTGTTGTACTTTGCAACTCTTCTTCTTAATGAAACGATACGCAACTCTCCTGCGTATTCGAGAAAAAATATATTGATAATGTTCATGCTCCTACAATGACCATCTCTTGCAAGATTTGCTAATTGTCTAGTGCAATGCAGGGTGGATTGCTGCTATTCGTGAGTTCATACTTTGAATATATTCGAATAAGCAATTTCTTAAAATCTAAGGAAGCGTCCTTTTGTCGAATTGGAGAGTGAGTAGACCTTCCTTCTCATTATAGATTATTTTATTTGTTCAATTTACGTTATCTCCCTTAGTCTTAAGACAAGTGGTTTTTCTCTCGATGTGCTCCCAAATCAGGGCTACATCTCAACAGGATATATCTCGTTCAAGAGTCTGGTTTTTTGAGGGCAAGAAAAAGATCTTGCTTTATAGTGAAAGATCTCACTTCTACCATCGATACAAGGTAAAATTGTCTGAAGCATTACTTATTGTATTATGTGATTCGTGTTGTTTCTGTGTTAGCTGTATTGTCTAGGATATTCATCATTATTTCTTGACGTGCAGATCAGGGGAACAAAGCATTTACTAATTTATTCATTGCCAGGGAGAAAAGAATTTTATCCGGAGGTATTGACTAAATTGCAATTTCATTGCTTTGTCTCACGGTTTACGGTGAAGAGGTTTTGAAAGTTAATCTCCCTTGGGTTTGTATCTTCCTTTCAGCTTGTAAATATGCTAGGCGAATCAGAAATCCGGAAGTGCAATGTTCTTTTCTCTCGTCTAGATCTTCTTAAGGTGAGTTCACTATTTCACTTAGTTTGGTTCCATCGTGGAAACTGTAATCTTGTCCTGCTATTAATTTCATGCTCTGCAGAAACATTTATTTCATGGAGTTTGTGATCCATTCTATCATGCAGTTCAGCTGTTCAGTTAGCAGTATGAACAAATTTATTTTAATCTTTGTGGTCACACTATCATATTTCACAAAGTTTGGATTCAAGATGAAAATGACAAGCTTTCGGGTTTTGAGCTTCTGTTTGAAAGTTTGTCTCACCTAGTTTTGGTTGATGCTCAACAGTTTCACATGCAGTTCTCTCCTGATTATTTGTTAGCTCTTGTATATATAATATATATCCAATTTCTTATGCTGTATCTTTTAGAAGTTCATATGCATTCCTTGACTCCATGAGTTAATCTCGACCAGCATGTTAGTTATCCTTCGTCTTCGTGTGAACTGACTTGTTGCTAACTTGCAGTTAGAGCGGATTGTTGGGACATCTTCTGCACGAAAGTTGATTTCCTCGGACAAGGGCATGTTTGTCTTCTGCTGACGTAGCCATGTAGCCGCAGCCTAGTAGGTTAAACCCTACTGTTGAGCAGACGAATGTTTTTTTATGGTATAAATGGTATATCTATCCATAAGCTATGTTTTGACCAATATCTAGTCTGGGGATCTCAATGTAATTATAAGGTCAGCCAAAGAGTTACGTTGGATGCACCGGAGCACTACGGGCTGTTTGGATGACGCCTAGCCTGCAGCGCTCACCCATTCAACTAACTCCCCAGGTGCTGTTTGCTTGCTGCCTGCTGGGCAACTTCGCATCCAGGCAGGAATCTAGACCTTTGGCCAACAAAATCGCAATCTAATCTGTTTTGAGTACTAACATATTTTGTTTAGACGTTGGATGAATGTCGGATGAAGCATTAAAGGTAGACCTTTTTTAGGCATTCTTTTCTCAAGTTGCCAAACTCCTCCTGAGCCATGGTCGCCACTTTGGCTCTGTTTGGTAGGGCTCCAGCTCCAAAAACGGCTTTCATGTTCCTAAAATGGCTTTAACTTTCACGTGAAGTAACTTTTCACTTTTTTGGTGGTAGTTTTGAAAACATTTGCAAAAAAGATGACTAGTGGTAGTTTTGTAAAAAATTGTATTATGTTTTGAGAAGCTACTTTTTTTTTCCTCCGACTCCTTAGCATAAAATTGCAGCTCTCCTAGACTCCTTGCAAGGAGCCATTTTTTAGATGGCCGTTTGGCATGGCTCCTTGCAAGAAGTTGCAAGAAACTGGAACTAGAGTCATACCAAATAGGACCTATGTCTATCTCCTCTGTGATCTTAAACACCTGGTCTACTCACGCCGGTGCCTAGCTCTTGTGTTTTTGCGTTACCCTCATGCTCAGTAGTGTGCCTTGGCCACCAAAATTATATTCTTTGGCTGGTAGGCTCCTACTCCTTTGCTGCATGATGAGTCTGTTGTTGCACGGTTGGAGAAAAAGAAGTGGCACATGGGGGGGACAGAGAAGAATGGAGAAAGAAAAGGAGGTTAAGGGTTTGAGAGTTCACTTCGTTTACGGGAGAACGGAGGTCTGGAACAGTTCGGATGGAATGACGGGGCGAAGGACAGAGAAGCAGAGAGAGAAAGAGAAGAATGGAGAAAGAAAAGGAGGTTAAGGGTTTGAGAGTTCACCGTTTTACGGGAGAACGGAGGTCTGGAACAGTACGAATGGAATGACAAGTCTATTTATAATAGCAATGATGATCAATTCCCAGCCCTCAATCCCCACTAAACGAACGAGGCCTTAATCTTTTGCAAACTCGAAACCTTTCTTAGAAGGCTAGAAGGGTAATATCAAAGAGCACTTGAATGCAGAAAAGTTTCTCGTAAAAATCAATTGGATATTTGTTGATTGATTTGTTGGTAGTATTGAACTGATTTAATCGATGATTTAAAGTTTAAACCTTCCTGACAGCAGACAAAGATAGTACGTAGGAGTACGTCGGGTACGTGTGCTTAGCTTCGTGAACACCGCGCATGGCAAGGCAACCGAGCGTCCGAGCCATCAGCCGTTCATGAGCGATTGTGTCCGTGCTCGTGCACTGCCGACAATGCATGCAATCACATGGCCGCGGCTCGGCTCGACAATGCATGCAATCACATGACACTGATCCTGTGCTAAGCTAGTATGTACGGAGTATAAAAAATAGTCTCCGCGCTTGGCGAGAGTGAGAGGACAGACAGGCTGCTCTGCTGACTGCTTGTCCTGGACGAGAGACGAGACCAGATAGATCCAACCGCCCGGCCATCATTCCGATGCAGTCGCCTGACCAACGCTGCCGGACGCCCTAATCTTTGCACGGTTCGGCCCGGCGGCCCGGCGTTTTGCTCAGCTCACGGCACAGCTAGCCCCAGGCACATGGGGGGCCTCTTTGGGATAAGACATTGGGGACATTGGGTCAGTGTCTAGCAAAGTTGCCTATACCAGGTAGCGATATAGATTTTGCTCAAAAAAAAAAAAGTAGCGATATAGACAATCGGTTTTGATGGTCAAGATCGCTGTCTAGCAGGTAGTACTAAGTTGCATGTTGGGTTGTGAACTGATCAGATCCATGGTACTACTAAGCTGGGCGGCGACAAGAGCAAAGCAAACGAGGTGGCAGCGGGTGACACATTATTGACCGAATCAGTGGGGAAATCCCCTACCTATTTTTTTTTTCCTTTTCAATTAAATGAAAGAATGTTATGTACAGAAGGCCAAAACAAAAAGGAGAGTACAAGGCAACCAGGCCCAAAAGAAAAAACTTTCCTATTACAGATAGCTATCTCTCCGAGAGCTAAGTGATGTTTGTCTTGCAGGCTTGGCCTTGGTACAAGCCAATCCAAGTTCATTCTTGAAGTGTCTCTTCCATTCATTGACATCAGCTCTACCATTATCAAAGATGACACCATTTCTTGTACACCAGATCACCCAGCAACATGTTATGAAGATTTCTCTAAAAATAACACTATCAAAATCAGCTCTGGCTTGTAGTATCATATCAAGGGGTGTGAGGTTCAAGTTCCAGGTTATTGGTATAGTTGACCAGCAGTTGTTACTTAAAGAGCACTCAAAGAAAAGATGGAAGATAGTTTCTTCACTCCTGAGTTGCAAAGCACACAATTGTGATCATCCAGATCCATATTCTTTCTTCTCAAAATATTTCTTGTGTTCAATCTATCCCTTAGCAGAAGCCAGAAGAAAAATTTATGTTTCCCCGGATTGCTCGAGCCCCAAAGCCATTTGAAAAAGAGGGGAAGCTGCAGTGAAACCTATTAGGATATTGTAGGCCTTTTTGCTACTGAATTTCGAAGAACCCCTTGAGTAGTTCCATATATCATGCATCTCATTATCCCAGTCTCTTTCAACATTGTGATCCAAAAAGAATCTAATTGAGCATTTGAGCTTCTTTGTAAAAGAGAACAGCTGGGGAAATTTATCCTTGAGGGGCTGATCAGTCCAGGAATCTGACCAGAAAAGGATTGTGTTACCTTTATTAGGGGAGCAGATCGCCAATTCTTGGAATTTTCCAAAGAGTTTCAATACATCCTTCCACCAAAAAGAACCAACATGACATCTTGCTTGAGGGGGAGTTTGTGCATTGGAGTAAAATTTGGACCATGTCAACTTCACCCAGGGGACATCTGCACAGTTATAAAATTTATCTAGAAATTTCATCAGGAGGGCATCATTCTGCTTTTGGATGTCAATTATGCCCAGTCCTCCCTGAACCTTTGGCTTACAAGCTGTTTCCCAAGCAGCTAGGCATGAGCCCTTCCTATTGATATCACCTTTACTTCATAAGCAATGTTTTCTGAAAACATCTATCTGCTTGATAACTTGAGGTGGAAGTTTGAGGCTGCACATGAAGAAGGTTGGGAGAGCAGAGAACACAGAATTGACCAAGGTCAGCCTTACATGATAAGAAAGAAATTTCCTGATGCCAGACAGTCTTCTTTCAATTTTGGATATTATTGGAGTAAATTCAAGCAGAGAAGGTTTGGTTGTTCCCAGAGGAAGACCAAGGTAGGTAAATGGCATACTGCCAACCTGACAACCAAAGGTGTTGGCTAGGTGAAAAGCTCTGTTATTGTCCATGTTAACTGGCACAAGGAAAGATTTGTTAAAATTCACATGGAGCCCAGTAGAATCTGAGAAGGGCCTAAGCAAACCCCTGAGGTTAAAGAGCACTCTTGCATCTCCTGGCAGTATCAACAAAGTATCATCAGCATTATATATAAGAAAACTAATTGAAAAAGCATAACTCAATCTACCATATGCCTATTTCAGAATTACGTATTTTTTGTGATGACCCTCCAATTGTATATCGGACTAAATTAAGCTATCACCATTGACCCACACTCAACTTAATCTAGCTAACCCAGTACGTCGTCCCCGGGTAGCACCACTGATCGATGCTATCTAGCTAGCAGCAAGCGTTCATCTGGGATCATGTCACATTGGTGCACATATAGTTCACACAAGTTCACTTCTCATCTCCTACAACTAAAAAAAACAAAATGTGGACATTTTTTGGTGCGACATTTGTTTTGATTCGTCCGTCTGCCCACGCCTACGATCCCCGCCTGCTTTGAAGGAAACAAATCGATCACCTGAGTCCACATGCATGGAAGGAAACAATAATCATGCACCGTGCGATAGAAAAAGAAACTGTCATCCCTGCGATCTCCGCCTACTTTGAAGGAAACGAATCGATCACCTAAGGCCACATGCATGGAAGGAAACAATAATCATGTATGGAAGAAAACAATCATGCGGTGCCCCTCACTCGCTCGGTCAGATATCTTTCATCTCCACGTAAACCGGATCATATGGTATTGTCCATAATTTGGAGGGTATTAAATTTAGGCTGAGTGCATAGTAGGACACCTAGCTTTATTCTTGCAACTTCTACCTCTTTATGTGTTAGTCTTTGCTAATGGTATAATTTGTTCACAAAGCTCAAGCAAGACAATTGGTAAAGATCAAGCAAGACGACTTAATAAGGTTATCCCTTAATTTTAGTGTTTCCAGCGTGCAGACATGAAATTAAAAAGTGGCTGCTCCTTGAGAACATCAGTGGTGCCAAATAAAGATGTGCAGGTTATACATTGTGAGATTGATGAACCTTCTGCAATTTCCTAAATGAATATTCCCACCATTAGTATATATATCCATTTCCCTGCGTTTCTTCGTGCTCCCATTAGCATATAATATGAAAGTATTGTTGTGTTCATCACGACTTCCAGTTGACTACTCTCATTAGTATATACTTCCTCTGCCCTAAAATATAAGTCCTTATGGGATACGTGCATGTCAAACTTTCTCAATTTTGACTAGGTTTGTAAAAAATACGTGCAACATTTATATCTCCAAATAAGTTTATTATGAAAATATATTCATTGGTCTATGTAATGATACTAATTATGTATTATAAATATTAATATTCTTTTATATATAATTGGTCGAAGTTAAAAAAAGTTGACTTCTCGGGAAGCGAGAATGAATTCTATTTTGGGACAGAGAGAGTATATGAAAGCAGTGTTGAAAATATTTTAACAATTAAGTTCGTCTCTGTCTGATTGGTAAGCTTAGACATCATAATGGCATAAAAAATTTCGCTTCTCATGGACACCCTCATGGATCAGTACAAAGCATCATAATCCTACAGCATACATGAATGACAACCTTAAAATTATGATATTTTCAAAGGGTGGACAATAAAGACCATCTTAGACGTTCTAGCATTAGAGTATATACGTGCAGCCACATAGGCATGGTGATGCAAGTGAGCAGCCAACAGGAGTCGAGAGTTAAGGGGTGTTTGATCTCAGGACTAAACTTTAGTCCCTGTCACATTGAATTTTTAGATATCAATTAGGAGGACTAAACATTCGCTAATTATAAACCTAATTACATAAGTTGTGGCTAATTTGCTTGCCAGCGCCGTGTACAGGATGGTATGGAGATGTGGTGGAACTTATTCGTGGATTTATTGGCGCACGAAAGAAATGGATATCGGAAATCTCTTTCAGCCGGTATAAAAAATGATCTTAGCCGCATCACGGAAAGATCTACACAGTAGAGTTTGTAAACCTGTGACGCCACGCTCTCTGTGACTATGTAAATTTCACAAACTTAGCTTTTTGATTAAATGTCACTTTAACGTCGGTCATATATTTTTACAGTATTGTTATCTTATCGTGCGATCCGTGTGTTTTTAGTACAAAAGTTTAGCTGTCCCGTAGCAACGTACGGGCACGAACCTATTTACATATATACTCGAACCTGTGTGTATATGATTATATGGAGATGCAGCGGAACTTATTTATGGATTTATTGGCGCACGAAAGAAAGAAATATCGTAGAATTCTTTTTGCCGATATAAAATATTATCTTAGCCATATCACGAAAAAGTCTATACAAAAGAGTTTGTGAGCCTACGACGTCGCGTTCTTCGTGACTCTGTTAATTTCACGAACTTTGCTTTTTGAATTAAATGTCACTTTAAC